GCCTCTCCTAGTCCTAATGTCTGAAGCACAGGGAAGGAAAGCTAGTGGTCAAGGCTACACTGCTGGCAGCACCCATGTTTCCAGACCCAGGCTTGGCAGGACTCAGCCATCTTTTAAGCCACCTTGCTCCAGAGTGCTGGGTTCTGTGATCAGAGTTCAAAGAACGTCTATGTGACAAGGTGGAAAGGCTCAACATCTAGTGGGTGGTTGGGAGCCAAGTCCTTCTGTACAAAGGGGCCTGCCGGCATCTGGAGTGCAGGGTGGAAGAACTTTCACCATTTCTCACACCCTCAGTGCTCTCGAATGCTCTGCTAAGACAGTTATACATATCCAGTTCCTGGCAGACCTAACAAGTACGGTGGTCCTGAGGAAGCAGCCACAGGCTGGGTGCAGTGGCATATGCCTAAAATCCCGGAGGCTGTGGCAGGAGGATGGCCAAGAGCTTGAGGCCAGGAACAAACAAGCAAAGCAACTACAGATCCTCTATTTGGATGACTGCAACAGTACCAAACTAAAATTTCTAACTGTCATATGCAGTATCTGTGCTTGGCCCTTTTTGGCTGGGTGACCCTGCACAGAACACTTGTCTGTGGCCTGTACTTTTGTGTAGCACTGGCTTAAAAATAAACAAGAGCATTTACAAATTAAAGATATTAAAATGCAGACATTTCCTTTTACATGAAAATTCTAATCACAAGGAAGAAGACTCTCAAATTTGCCCTTTCTTAGACATGCATTTTGGGTTCAAAAACACATTCTTGTCACTTTTTGTTTTCATTCACTGATACTGTAAAAGAACCCAGGACTTTTGAGCTACATCCATAGGCCCCCAGGCTGGGCTACAAATTGTGATACTTGCCTCAGCCTCCAAGAGTGCTGAGATAACAGCCACCTGCTACCCTCTTTCCTTAAATCGTAGCTATTTTTTAGCCAGGCATGCTGGTGCACACCTGTAATCCTGACATTCAGAAGGCTGAGGCAGAAAGATCACCATAGACCGGCCTGGGGTATATGGTGAGTCTCTATCTTAAAGTCACTATTTGGGGCTGGGGATTTAGCTCAGCGGCATGAGCACCTGCCTTGTAAGCAGGCAGTCGTGAGTTCGATCCCTGGTACCGATAAAAACGAAAAAGACAAAAAAAACAAAACAAAACAAAACAAAAAACAGAAAAGTCACTATTTTTAAAAAGTAGTGCTAGGGATGGAATGCAAGGGCCCACAAAACTAGGCAAGTGCTCTACCACTGAGTTGTACCCCTGGCCCTTACTCCTCATCCTTTTGTGGGAAGTTTAATTTTCAAAGGTCATCTTACCTGCCTCTCTTCTTCTCAGAAAATAATACATTTAAGTTTCTTAAGTGTTGAAACTTACACCCAACTCCTTGTGGCCTGATGAGCTCCATGGAGCTGAGGTCTGAAGAGGACACTCTGTCAATGACAAGTTCCCAAATGCTCTATCTGCAGCCCAAAATTTGCCATCACTCCTCTGGGTTCCTCTGTGGTTCACACTTATCCAAGCATCTGCAGGTTTCATCTCAGAAGAAAATGCCACTGTTAACAGGTCATGTTTGGCCACAGCAATCCTGGTGTGTAGGAACTACCAGAGGGTCTTTTCAGAGGCAGACACCTGAGTCCCCTCAGACCCAGGGAACCAGGTGCTCACCCATCAACTGCATTTTAATAAGCTCCCCAACAGGGATGGTAAGTGGTGTGACCATTGCAGATGACCTGCTTCTATCAGGATGGGTCAGCTGGTGATTCAGGAGACTTGGTACTGGGAAAACAAACCCAAACAGAACTATCTAGATTGAGAACAGAGTTCTGCTTTCTAGAATTTCCTGCGTGTCCTCAGGTATGATCACTTAAACGCTCTGGTCTGATTTCCTCCCCAGAGACAGAGTGGAAGGACAGGAGAGCGTTGCTTTTCCCATGTGTGCAGGACTCACCCAGGGGTCTTGTTAAAATGCAGGTTCTGGTTTAGCAGGTCCAGGGTGGCATCTCTGAAGCTCTCAGGTGGGTGATCTAAACTGAATCCTTGATCCCTGAGGTACATTCCAACCCCCAGAGTCTATAACAGGTCCCTATACTCGTGGCTTTTGTGTTCTTTTTCATGCAATTCCGTGCATGACTACCATTCTAATTTATGAGGAAAACCATCACTACCAAATGTCAGATCTGTGACCTTGTCATAGGAGCTTGCGCCACAAATTCAAATGCTTACTTTAAAATAAAAGGGGGAAAAAAAAAAAAAAACCCCCACCACCAAATACGCCTTCCACCATAGTCAGTATCCTTTCATTACCAAACACATTCAACAATTTTTATAAATCTGGGCATCTCATGGAGCTCAGAGGGAGTGCCCTTTTCCGCGGGCTCTTCCTTCCTGTTAGGAAGGTGGCCTCACAGCCCCCACCCGGCTGGGCCTGCTTGTCTTCATGCCCATGGGTTGCTTGAAAGCTAGGAGGCTCTATTCTGAGCCTGCAGCCAGGGGGTGCCTAGCCTGTTGTGAGCCCTAGGCAAATGCCAGCTGCCACCTTGGTAAAACCAAGACTTTGCCCGCTGTTTGCTCTGTGCTTCAGTTTGTTCTCCCTCCTTTATAAAAAGAAGATGCTAAGAGTTGTTGTGAAAATGAAGAGGAATGACCTGGGCTGGTCTCTGCTGAGTCAGCACTCGCTAATAATAACTGCCTGTGATCATTATTATCAGGGGTGAAAGTCCAAGAGTGACATAAAACCTGTTCCCAACTGAGCTGGAGTTTGTTTATGTCCCATGGTACTATCTGCCCTTGTGATGATAGGTGCATATGTGTGTATATGTACATGTGCGTGTGGTGGGGACTGAACCCAGGGCTTTAGGCATGCTAAGCACACACTGGCCACTGGGCCACATGTCCTGCCCCTTACTGATGCTGGATGGCTAATCTGGCCCCCAGCCCTTGCTGAGGCCACCCCTCTTGTAGCAGGAGAGCTGACCACCCTGTAAAGGCTCTGCCCACGACACACACCAGGCCTGTGCCCTTCCTCTGTGAGCCCAGTCGGGGGAAGCTCTTTGCAAATGTCAAGCCCCTGCAAGAAGTTTCCCAGTGGGCACCTGTCCAATGCTCCTGTTTATTATGTCCATGATGTGCCAGGCGTGGGGCTGGCACGGGGAACATAGTAACAGCAATAAACAGAGTGGAGTCTTGCCTTGCCATGACCTCATAACCTGGTGAAGTGGGTAGAAACAGCTCTTTCTCATAAAATTACTCAAGTCACCCATTTGAAGAGGCTGAAGGGGACAGAGGGAAAATAACAAAGACCTTTTTACACTAACCCATTACTCTTTGCATTAGTTCTTCCCGGGTGCTCCTCATACATGCTCCTCACCTGGTTTTGATCACTGAGTGAGCCATCTATTTTTCCTTCCCTGGATGCCAGAGCAATTCCCCACATTACGTGTCCATAATCAGTCGCCTATGTCATGGTCACAGCTAGACCGCTCCCAAATTGTCCCTGCTGCCCAGGCAGTCACCTCTATGCACCATGCACACATAAAGGAAAGGCCAGTACCGTGGGACTCCGCAGTGTCAGACACCTGGGCTGAATAAGGACCTACGCAGTTTGTTTCTCAAAGACAAGGACAATCCACAGGGGTCCTTCTGGACCAGGGTACACACAGCAGCTTTCCACACCCTCTGCAGAGACTGCTGAACTTGGGTGATTTAGGATTCACTTGCTGAACTATTTAGGAAAGAGGGATGTGTGTTGCACAAATGTCTTCAACATGATTCAGGATATTTTTTGAAACTGGAAACTGAACTCAGGACCTTGTACTTGTCAGGCAGCACTAATGCTGCTGAGCTATATCCCTGGTGTAAGATTCATTAAGTTAGCCAAGTAACTTACTTTCAAACACTATGATAAAAGCCTTGCTTCTTCTCTAATAATGTCTTTTTCATTAAAGAAAAAAGTTAACTTTGTATTTCAAAAAAGGTTCAGGAAAACAATATATGCATGTCTAGATGAAGCAGACATAGCAAGCGTTAGCATCTATTATAACTATGTTTCGGTGGAATGGGCCAATTAGGCTGTGAGTGTATAGATATTTACAGTAATATGTTTCTCTACTTCTCTAAATATTTAAAATTCTTTCATAATAAATCCTTGAGAAAAGTCTTTTTAGATTTAAAAGGTAAAAGACACAGTGGCAGAAGAATCGTAATTATAGCCCAGGATGGACAACTTAAACCCTATCTCAAAATAAAATTAAAAGGAGTTGGGATTATAGTTCAGAGCTCCCTAGGTTCGATCCTCCAGTAATACAAAAATAAGCATGTAAATAAATTAATAAAAGAAAAAAAGAGGATGTGGTAGCTCACGCCTGTAATCCCAGCACTGGGGAGGCTGAGGCAGAAAGATTGTTGCAAGTTTGAGACCAGCCTGGGTACAAATGAGCTCAAAGTCAGCCTGAACTGCATAGCAAGACCCTGTCACAAAAGACAAAGAAAAAAAAGAAATCAGGCCTATAATCCTAGTACTCATGGACTCAGGAGGATCACTGTGAGTTCAAGGCCAATTTAGAACACATAACAAGATCTTGTCTCAAAAAAAAAAAAATAAAAAAATATATATATAGTATCCATTTACTTATTCAAAAAGTAACACTTCAATATACTCAATGTATAAGCCAGCTTTCCTAGCACTGAGACACAATACCTGGTGCCCAAGGAGAGTTTTTTAGGGGATTCAGTCCACGGCCTGCTTGCTGGCTACAAGGCAGGAATACTACGGTGGAAGGCAAAATAAAGACACCTGGTTCAGTGAGTGGGAAGCAGGGCAGGGGAGCAGCGCCCAGAAGGAAGGTGCAAGAGACAGACACAGACCAAGGGGAGACTCCACGTCCCAACCAGACACAGCCGCAAGTGTGGGGATTGGCCCCCCAGGCCCCCAGGTGACATTCCACCTTCGCTGTCACAGGCAACAAACACTAACTCAGCAAAGTGCTTGTCATGCAGTGAACTGACCTGGTCGCTCACCTCACTGTGAGCTTACTATGTAGCATTTCCTTTGGGTCAGGCATTCACATGCTAATTGTACTGTCCACTCACATTGTCTTCCAGCAAAATTCTTGACTAAAAAAAGAAAAACAAAAAAACCACATAGGACCTTGGCATATTTCTGTCTCAATAGTACTGTACTGACTGGGCATCAGGGTACAGGCCTGTAATCCTAGCACTCCGGGAGGCTGAGGCAGGAGGATTGCAAGTTTGAGCTGAGCCATAGTAAAGACTTAGTGAGACCCCCTGTCTCAAAAAAAGAAAAAAAAATTACTGTGCTGACTAAAATTCAAAAGCAATGTTAATAGTGATGGCAGGCCCCTTTATTGTGTTACTGGTTTCAACAGGAATGCCTCTAGTGTTTATTAGTTATTTATAACCTTGGCTATTGGCTTGAAATAGATATTCTTAATCATACTAAGAGTGCATCCTAGTGTTCCTTTTTTGGCATACTGGTTAGGTAAACTGGTCGATTTAACCACTCTCCCCCTACATATGTTGGAGTTAATATGGTTTTACTTTTTCAACTCTTAGCATGATGTAGTTACTATATTAAGCTTTCCTAATATGGACTCTTCTTCCCTTCTTGGCCCACTGGGTTATGCTGGATAACTTATTTAATATATTACTGAATTCTGTTTCCTACCTAGCATTTTCTTTTCTTTTTTTTTTTGGTCTTTTTCCTTTGTTATCAGTACCAGGGATCGAACTCTCGACTGACTGCTTGCAATGCAGGCGTTTATGCCGCTGAGCTAAATCCCCAGCCCCCTCATTTTCATTCTTTAATATGGTCTCTTTGCCATATTTAATATCACACTTATTTTGCTTTGTAGAATGAGCCAGAGAATTCTCCATCTTTTGCTAAACCATGGACAAGATTAATATTATCAATATTATCAATTTTGAATTTAACCAGCAAAACCACTAGGGACTAGTGTCGTCTTTGGGTAGAGAGGGTAGTGGTTCAATTAAGGATCACATTTCCCACTCAATTAGCAACATATGTTTTCAGGAAAGCATGCATGTTATTAAGATTTTCAAATTTAGGCTGCCTATGCATAAATTTTGTCTTAAAAATCTCTTCTCAATCTATGGCGATGTCCCCTTTCCTCATTCCTATTGTTTTCTTTATCCCCTTTATTTCTCAAATGGGTTTGCCAGAGGTTAGTCTACTTTATTGTTTGTTTGAAAACAGAATCAGCTCTTGGATATATTTGCTAATTTCACTGTGTTTCTGTTTTCTAATTCATTTATTTCTGCCTGTATCTTTAATGTTTTTTTTCTCTCTCTCTTTTCCCATAGGGGCTGTTTTTATTCTCTTTTTTTTTAAAAGATCTCAGAATGAATGCTGGCTTATTCTTTTTCTCTCTCCCTTTTTAATAATAAAAGCATTTAAGGCTATGAGAACAGTGCCAGCTGTCTCCCACAGGTTTGGTTATGTGGCATTCTGGTTTCAATGCTTTTCTAAATATTTGTCAGTAGATTCTTTATTTCTTTCTTGACCCAATAGCAATTTAGAAGAGAACTTTACGTTTTGTGGTTGGGTCTGAGCTGTAGTGTGTTTAAATTTACAATATTTGGCTAGGTTTACTGCATGGCAATCAGCGGATTCCCCGAGTGACACAATTTCTGTTGTGGGCAGAATGCAAGCTCTTGCAGTTGGTTACTGGTAGCTGACAGATACGTGTGTGCAGCATATGTTCACTCGCAAAGCCCAAGTGCTTGTAAAAGTTTTTGCTTGCCATAAGGTGATGCTAAAAGAAAGAGAAAAGGATGTAAAAGTTCAATTTGGTGCTTGCAATGTGTATCACCCTCCCACCAGCTTGAACCACCGGTGTATGTGCATGACTGTCCCACCCAATGGGACAGCCCCATGCTGCTGGATGGACCACCAGTGGTACAAAGCTGCCTGGCAGCAAGACATATGAATTATGGCCCTGTCCTGAACGTGTTGAAACACAGTGTATTTACATATATGCACCACAAAGACCAAGGAACGCACAAAGGGATTTTAATTGTGTTGGTAATTTCCAGTTTATGAAAAAATTTTCTAGTTTATAGGATAATGAGTACTTTTCTGTATTTCTCAAATTCCCTAAAGAGCTATAAGGTTGACTACTTTAATAATAAGATTTCTTTAAATGTTTATTTGCCTAAGCTTTGGAAACAGGTTTGCTCTGTTGCTGAAACAAAGGCTAGCGTAGCCAGGGATTAAGGAAACCACCAAGGAGGGCTTAGGAATGAATAATCAGATTTGGACCCAAAAGAGCATCCACGGCTGAAGAGGGTGGTGCTGCGAGGTACCCATGGTCACGGTCACTCTGGCTTTCGAGATTGCTTCTGGGGGAGGAAGTTCATTCTTAGGGCACCTGTGTCCCTCACGTCCCTCACCTTTGTTCATCTTCCCTTGCAGGAAAGGAAAGTGCACATCAAAGCAGCAAAGCCCAGCACCCTTTGCAGACCCACCCAGGCCATGACTGCCTCTCCTCCACAGCTTCACCTCCACAGCCCCCCAAGCAGAGGCCGCCTGCCAAGGAGCTGCTGAGTCTGAGGAGCCTGGGCAGAGCCCCATCCACAAGAGCCCGCTGCCCCTTTGGATGTCCTAAGTGCTCGAGGCACTAGCCCAAACCAGCAGCTCTGGAAGGCAGCCCGGAACTCAGATTTCAAAGCCTGCTCCACCGTGACAGCCACCAGAGAGGAAAGAGGACACAGGTGGAGGGTGAGGCAGCGGGCATGAGAAAACACAAGCAGGAGGGAATGGCAGGACACCGTGAGGGAAGAGAGGTGACACCCCAGACCCATCATGTCACAGGCATGTGACCTGTGAATACACGCTGTGACTGTTACCAGGGACAGCAGGCAGTGGGGTCTCCTTCCTGCCTTACCCTGCAGCCTCTGCCTGGGCCCCCTGTGCCAGTGGGGGGGGGGTACAGAGGTGAGACACGGGGAGACCACTGGCCAGAGGTGTGCTCATCTGCAGGTGAAGGACACAGACAGCCCAGCAAGTATGGCAGGGGCCAGAAAGTCAGATGAGGGCTGGCCCAGTCCAGCATGGTGCTCCTGGAAAGGTGCACTGGTGGGCATGGTGAAGGTACAGGCTGTAAAAGGGGTACACAATGCTGCCTGCTCCCCTCTCCACGCAGCTGCTCTCTACATCCAGGCAGAGCTCCACCGGGCCCCTGGGTATTCTAAACGGTGACTTCCTAGCAGGTGCTCACCTATAGGCACCAACTGTTCACCCTCTGCTCCATGTGGTAACTGATTAGAGCAGTTAAACCCCAAATCAGAATGTAGCCAAGGGCTAAAAGAATGCTCCCCAGAGAGCGAGCACAAGGACCTCACCTCGTGTCATTAGACACGGTGGGAAGAAGGCAGATAGTGAGGGCAGGTTGCAGCTTTTTTTGGGGGGGGGTGTTTGGTACTGGGAATCAAACTCAGGACCTTGCGCTTGCCAGGCAGGCACTTATGCCACCGCGCTAGAACCTTGGCTGCCGTAGCTCTAACTTTTATCCAGAAACCAACAGGCTCTCCAAGGGCTCACTGACCCACCTCTGTGACCCTGCGTTATTTTCCTGGCATGCCAGTGGATGGAGTGAGCTCTGGACACAGTCACATCTGGGTTCAAATCCCCTAGAGCCTTGTGTTGGTACGGAGCAGTGGGAAAGCAGATGCCTTCATGAGCCTGTTCCCTTTTTTTTTTTTTTTTTTTTTGGCAGCAGGAATTAAACTCAAGGCCTTCTCACTGAGCCACAACCCTACTGCTTTTAAACAAATTTTTAAAACTTTTGATACAGGGTTTCATTAAATCACTAAGCTGCCCAGCTGGATCAGAGCTTGTGATCTTCCTGCCTCAGTCTCTCAGAGTGCAAGGATCACAGGTGTATACATGCCCAGCTTCCTGGTCTTTAATATGAAGACAGAAATGCTCTTTGTTTTTCAGGGTGTGTTTGGAGACAGGGTCTCAGTATGTAACTCACACTGGTCTCAAACTTGTGGCAATCCTCCTGCCTCAGTCTCCCCAGAGCTGGGATTACATGTCTGCCACCATACCCAGCTAGGAATGCTGTTTCTCACAGGGTCACTGATTGCAGAGTATAGCAGAGTATCTGGCTCGAAGCAGGTACTGGGTGAACACAGGCTCTGCTCCTGCCAGCCTGAGGGCACCCCGACCAGTGCCCCATTACAAAAGATCTTCCTGGGGCCAAGGGTTTAGCTCAGGGGCATAAGCGCCTGTCTGGCAAGAGCAAGGTCATGAGTTCGATCCCCAGTTTAAAAAAAAAAAAAAAGTTAATCAAAAGATCTTCCTGCCCTCTCAAAAGGGCTTCATAAGGAGAGCCGTGTGTTGGGAACACACCCCAGTGGAAAACTCTGACTTGGGGTCATTTCTCACTGAGTTTTCAGAAACACAACCACGCACAGAAATATACTTTTGTAAATTATCTGTAAACAGCTGGTACGAAGCAGAGTCCAGGTAGAATGAAACAGAATTCAAACTGAGAGTCATTTGTCACGGTGAGGATTGCCTCCGCTCCCCGCTTAGCCTTCTGGGGGTGAGGGGACTGCCCCATAAGTGAAGCTCAGGGGGACACAGAGGGGCCACTTGCTCTTTCCAGGCTCCCCCGACATGCTTTACAGCCAGTTTTGGCCAGCTCTGCTGCCACCCACCTTACACCTTGCTGCCTGCTACACGTAACCGCTGCCCCACAACGCTGTCCTCTGCGACTCTCTGTTTTCTGGCCAGTACTACGGGTTGAAACCGGGCCTTTGCACCAAGCTAAATCCCCACCCTCAATTCATTTTGAAAAATTTTTGAGATAGGGTTTTACTAAGTGATCAAGTCACCCACTTTCTGCCTCAGCCTCCCAGAGGGCTAGGATTACAGGTTGTGCAGCATCCTGCCAAGTTCTCTGCTTTGCATGCTGTCTGCTGAAACTCTGCCAGACACTAACCCCACCAGGCCACCCTCCACCCTCCCTCTCCCCTCCACCACCAGTCCTGCATTCAAAGAGCAGATTTCTGGGCTGGGGATACAGAGAGACCTAGCAAGGGGGCCTGTTCTGAACACAAACACTCAC